TATTATTATATTCTCAAGTTAGATTTGATCTCTAGGCCATTTGGATTTCATTGGGGTAAATCTAAGAGCTGGGTCAAAATTTGTACCTTTAACACCCAAAAAGGTTTCTCAATGGCAATCTCCCAATTAGCTGATTGGGCTTAAGACGTTAAGTATGTTAAAGTTGTGTATCACGTGAATAAATATTTATATTTTTCTACAAATAATTGGACTTTCATATCCTACTGCTGTAATAATGACTGTATTTAGGTCTGATAAGATTCTTGATTTTAAGTGGAATCTAATTTGTTTGTTATTTCGGTCTGATGCCGCAGGCACGCAGCTGCTTAACTTAGCCACAGGCTATTGAAGGACATGCAGAGGAGGGTCTGCCGATGGAGGGGGCGTGGGCGGTGGAGTTGGAGGCAGATGCTGGCAATGGGGGTTAGCATTTACATGGGCATGGCATCAACATCAATCAGTGCGCATGTCAGCTGCTAGCAAGGGCCATTTTCAACAATGGCGAGATGACAGCAGCCGCAGCAGCAGAAGCAGCAGCAGCAGAAGCAGCAGCAGCAGCAGCAGCAGCAGCAGGAGCAGCAGCAGCAGCAGAACGTTTTGGCTTTGGCTTTTGGTTCAGTGCGCTATTAGAGGAGTTTGCGTGTGGCCGAGTAAGAGAGAGCCTTGTCAATAGCAAAGCAAAGCCAAAAACAGTGCCAACCGAGACAGACATAGCCTAAACGGGAACGGCCCTTCGATTAGGCACCTAAATAGTGTTCATTTTTCTTCTGTGCGTGCGGGTGTGTGTGTGTTTATTTGTTTTTATTTATGCTATAAACAAATTAACAAGGTAAGCGTCTTGACAAGTGCAACAGTGTTTAAGCTAAAATCAAAATTCAAAGTCCCAGACAAAGACAACGGCAAAACAAATAAACATTGAACGCGAGCTTTCTATACGTATACACACATACACATGCACAGCAATTTACGCATCTTATATGCTTACATATGAACGTGTGGGTGGGTGTGAGTGTGTGTGTGTGTGTGTGTCCATATATACATTTGTATGTAAATATACAGAGCAATGCGGACAGCGCTGTCTTGTCCGTCTCTCCCTCTACTGTGTGTGTGTGGGTTGTTGTGTGTGTGCATGTTTTGCATTTCTTAAATGTTACATTTTCTATTTTGCATTGCATATTTATGAACAGTCGCCGCCTTTCCGGTTAACGGGCAGGGCGTTATGATGGGTTGGGCGTGTAAATCGTTTAATTACACTTCAGCTGTAGCCTTGAAGGCAGCTTCTTGTCCCCGAAGGTCGTCAATATTTAAATTGTGCTTGACAGCAGCAGCACCAGCTGAAATTAATGCATATTAATCGTGTTGTCAAATCATTCGACTTCTTAACATTGATGCAATAACGGTACATATACTAGTATGCACAGCTTAATGCTCACGCACACATACATAGATACATACAAACATGCATAGTTAAACACACACGCAAGCCAAACTAAGCACACACAAGCTTGGCTATTCAGCTTTTTGCGTTCTGTCTGTTCCCGTGTGTGCGTGCATGTGTGCGTGTGAGTGTATCGAGTGGACACACCTGATTTGCGTGTATGTGCATGGCATTGGCCCACATGCGGTGCAAATACCAAAAATACCTTCATATGCACATAAATAGCTGAATAATCTAGTATGTAATTTGTATACATATGTTATTTAACATTTTTCTTTTGCTTCTAGACTTTTTATTAATCTTTATCTATGTATTTGTATCATCTCAACAGGCAGACTAGCAAAAATATCGATAAATACACAGTAAATAGTGCATATCAAACGACAACAGTTGAAGCAGCTTTTGCAATAACAGTTTGACGACGACTGCGCTGCTGCTGTTGGCAGCGAGCAGCGGACAATGAACTCGACAATGCAAAGCGCTCACTAATTCACAAACAAACACTAATACTCTCACACTCACTCTGGTGCTCTCGCACTCACACTCATTGTCTTTTCGTATATATGTATGCATTTGCATAACGGTTCACAACGTCAACAACGGCAGCAATGGCCACAGCGATGCTGCGTTTGAGCGCAAGGACAACGAAATATTTGACAATTGAGAATCAAATGAGCTAAGAGCTAATTACTTACATTCACATATTTACTTGAGGAAAATAAAAAGTAAAAACATGTCCGCTCTATGGTTTCCGTTTCCGTTTCCGGCATGCACAGCAAACAACAAGGAGCAACACCCAGAAGAGGACAAACTTAACAGTTGCCGCATCTTGCGTTTATCTTAGTTCCGTTGACTGAAACACACACATAAGTAGTCCAACATTCATACATATACACACACTCAAAACAAATTTGCATTGAAGTTGTGAAGAGCACGAAAATTTTGCCAAAAGGAATAAAACTGAAATTTAAAAATGGGCAGCTTGCCGAATTTGCATGAGCTGGAGGAGGCAGAACGAAAGAGGGAGAAACGTCGAGAATACGAATTGTTGTTGGAGCAGCGTGCAAGGGACACGAGTCGTGAGTGCGAACGCTTATCGGTATTTGCACAACAGCGTAAGGTGAGTGCGATACATGATCGATCGTCAAGCTATCGATATATGGAAATCAATTGCCAATTGGAATACCGTCAAGACAGTACACTTGTCCAATTGGATTAATGTTAAGGCCGTCAAGGCCTGACCATCATGAATTATATGCGATTTTTGATATTTTCCCTTTCAGCAATCCTCGTACAATGCTTATATTATGGCTGGCCTGGGCATAGGCGGAATCAGCGGTGGCGGCGGCTCGCTGAGTCTTGCCACAACGGCCAATGGCTATGGTAACGGACACATAGAGCTGGCTAATGGGATAACAAGTCCTACAACTGCTGCAGCAGGAACAGCGACCACAGAGACAACAACATCAGGCATAGAAACAACAACAACATCGTCAACAACTGCAACCGCAGCAGCAACAGCAACAGCAACAACAACAACAACGCTGAGTGGTTTTGCCATGCTGGGCTTGGCTAGCAGTCTGATGAACAGCAAGAAATATCCGCATTCCTATCATCAGCACATGCATCCGCACCAGCATTCGCACCCGCATCCGCACCCGCATCCGCATCCACATCCGCATCATCAGCATCGACATTCGCTGACCACGCGGCATCGCGTGCTGCGCACTCGGACACGCAGCTCGGGCGGTCCGCAGAATGTGTGGGACGAGCAGCTGATGGAGGTGAGTGGGTGGCACAGTGGGTTTTGATGGTCGATGGGCTGGGTGGCTCCTTGGCTGGCTGGCTGACTGACTGTGCAGCCTGCATACAGCGCCCAGCATAATCCTGGCTCCGGCTCTCGGGTTGGCACTTGTCATTTATTTATAGTCTTGGCAAATTGTGCTTCTGGCTTTTGCCTTCACTTCACAGCATCAGCTTCGATTTGGCTCGGCCGGCTGCCTGGCAACGGGGTCAAATGTCAGGGCAGTGGAGAGCTGGATAAACGCCTCCACGAGCACAAATAAGTAATTAAACGCAAACAAAGACGCTTGACACTGGCCACTGCGCAGATCCCGGGCACAGATTTTAATTTGAATCGCCAAACGACCTTCGACTAACCCGTATCCCTTGTCCCCCTCCTCCATTCCTATTCCTGCAATCGTTTGAAAATCCAATTCAGCTTGTTGCTCGCGGCCACAAACGGGCAAAAGTCAAGTGTCAAAAGCAAAATCCGTCGATTGCAATCGCCTGGCCTGTCAATGCGTTTCATTCGTTGCAAGTTACTGTTGATGGACTAGCTGATACCCTTTGGTGCTTGCCAATTGAGTTAGCCGCTTAGATTTGCCTCGGCTGGTTGAACCCGCATTTAAATACTGTATTCATTGCAAATGCAATATTGATTTTGTAAAGGGTATCTATTAGTCGGTTACTGGACATTTACGCCAAGTTTGGGGTGCACATGAATGAAAGTTCAGGGTTAATTAGGAGTATCTGTCTAGTCGATGCCATTGAACATATGGAGTAATGGGTATTTATTAGTCGGATACTGCCTATCCATACATACATGTGTACATGTGTATGTGTAGCTGTTATGGCAATGCTGATTAGAGGGTATCTCCCAGCCGGGCACTCATGACTAAGCATGACTATATATCTATATACATACATACATACATATATATTTCTCTCTCTCTCTCTCTCTCTCTCTCTCTCTCTCTCTCTCTCCCTCTATCTATGTATTGACAGCACCTCACTGCCTATTCACCGTCACCGATCTCGACGCGCTCGCATCGCATCAATCCCGTCTCCTCGTACCAGGTGCAGGCGGCATTGGCGGCATCGCGACGTCGCGAATCGATCAACAGCTCGATTGGGGCCACCTCGATACGCCGCCTGATCACGCTGAACAATCGCAACTGCCGCCACAAGGTGCCCGCCCACGTGCGCCAGAGGGTGTGGCGGCAGTTCACCTGCCTGAGCATCGCCCACGGCCTGATGAGCGCCGTTCTGCTGCCGGTGATGGCCTTGCAGGGCTCCAGCGCCGTCTGGCACCATCGCGAGCAGTGGCTGCCCATCGGGCCGAACATTGGATCCCTGCTGCTGGGCGCACTCTTCCTGGTCGCCGCCTGCATGAGTGTGCCGGGCATACGGCTAATCCGGCGATTCGGCTACACCCCGCTGCTGGCCGGGAACTGCTTGGCCGTGACCTTGTTCCTGCTGTCGCACCTGTATGCCTCCATCTATACGCTGCTGCCGGCATACTTGCTGCTGGGCTTCATGCTGAGCGCCGCCAACAGCTGTAAGGCGGCGCTGATTGTCCACTATGGCGGCAAGCTGAGCTGCTCCCACGAGCAGGAGTGCGCGTCGGATGCGCTGCTGGAGGAGCACAAGATGTTCTGCAATCGGGACCAGAAGGTGCGCCGCTTGGCCCGCTGGCTGCGCGCTGCCCAGGATCTCGGCCTGATCCTGGGCGCCCTCTTGGCCTCACTGCTGCTCGCCTGCAATGTGAACGACTGGAGCTGCTCCTCGGGCAGCGCCGAGCCAGCCGGCTCTAATGGCAGTCTCCTGCCCGCCACCAACTGGCCACAGCCGGAGGACTTCTACAATCGGAACGAGCATGGCGAACGCATCTGTGGAGCCGACATGTGTCCTCTGCAGCTGGATCCCAGCTGGTTCGCTGCCAATGACACGGGCGCCATCTATGCCGGCTTCATTGAGAGCGGCTCCCGCGCTGGTGGCCAGTCGCTGCTCTGGCTCTACGTGGTGCTCTCGCTGCTGGCGCTGCTGTTGTCCCTGCTCCAGGGACGTCAGGTTCTGGTGGCTGCCAACAGGCCGGAACGCTCGCACAAGGATGTCACGGACACGCTGCTCTTTGCCGGGCCGTTGGCCTACTTCGTGGGCACCGAACAGGGCTACATGCTGGGCGACTTTCTGCGCGCCTTTGTCTCCTGCTCCCTGGGCATCAACATGATACCGGGCGCCCTCATCGGCATGGGCATAATGCAGCTGATCGTCTCCTGCACGCTGAGCATGCTGCTCCGGCATACCAAGCGCATCGTGGTCATATGTGAGTAGCAATTGATGTGTGTGTGTGTTTGTGTGCTAATCCTAATGATTCCTCACCTCAATCCTACAGTGGCTGGCTTCTTCTTTCATTCGTGCTTGCTGCTGGCGCTGTCCAGCTGGAAGCCGTCGAGCGACGATAGCGCCCTCTTCTATGTGATAGCCGCCTCGTGGGGCGCCTGCAATGGCATGTGGGAGACGCTGCTCCTCTCGCTGGTCACCCTCAATCATGTCCAGCACGATCATGTGACGGATGTGACGGCACCGCTGCAATCAATGCGTTTCCTCGGCCTCGCCATCACGTTTGCGGCGCACGGCTTCCTCTGCGAATCGGTGAAGATCATTGCGCTCGTCGTCCTGCTGGTGATCAGTGTGCCGCCATATGCGATGCTGGAGATACGCCTGGAGGCGCAGCGGAAGGCGACGCTGATCAGCTTATGACGCAGCTACTTCAGCTAGTCCCGGAGCCGGGGCACTGTGGCACGCACGCACACCATGTAACCATCGGGGGCGGCGTACCGCAGGCTGACTGACTGACTGATCGATCCCGTCGATCAGCAGCTATAATGCCCCATCCAGAACGGAGCAAAGRCATATTCGAGTTCTCTCAATTCAAACAGTATTCAGAAAGATGAGACAGGATCCGGAGAAAAAGAGACAGAAAGAGAGAGAGAGAGAGGGGCAGAGTTGGAGAGCGAGAAAGAGAGAAGCAGAGAGAGAGAGAGAGAGAGGGAGAGAGGAAATTTATCAAAGTTTGATCTCAGTCGCACTCTTAGTCCAAGTCCACACACTGTTTATATATCAATATATACACCTACTTATATATACCCTATACAAACACATACATACATATATATACATATATAATCTAATTGAAACATATGCCAGTGCCAACAATGTTGTTCCAAATCTTTACCACGAAATTTGGACTAAGCCACGCGGTCCAGGGCCTAACGTATCGTAGTTGATCTATTTAGCATATTAGAAGCGTTCTTCTCTGTCTGTTTCCCATGGATAATACTTAGGCTTAGCTTCAAGAATTGTAAGGGATATTTTTAAGTGACTATTCTGTGCCATCTAAACTAAATAAATATGTGTATATATACATATATATATAGAGCTTTTAATATATTTTAATGGTATTTCGAAATATTTCTAATATATATTAACTGTATTCCTCGATGTATGTACAACTACGTCTAAATCTAACCTAAAGCATGTTTCTTAACGAACGAAAAACCAAACTAAAATGAATCTAGAAATCATGTACTGCACATCGTTTTCGATTAGGGCCATAAAACTTCAAAACAAATTTAGCTTTATTCAGTTTTTCCATATATACATATATGAAAGAAAAATGGCTACAAATGAAGGTAGATCATATTGCTATATAATGAAAATTTGAATTCAGTTTGAAGTTAGTTTTGAAAATTATTGCACTTTACGTTTTCGAAAAGTTTTATTTTGGTTCTTTCAATAAAATCGAAAACGAATCATGGAACAGATTCTCAACTATTAGCTCTGAATTGCTGTGAAATGGATAGAAAATTTGTTAGCTTCTAGAATGTATTTGGATGTTTGAATCGTATTGTCTCCATAATGTTGTTCTCGATGTACTTAAAAGATATATGTATAAATATAGCAATTGATATATACGTTTGTCTATTTGGGATGAGATTTCGTCCAATTGGTCAATTGACGAGGCGAGCCGAGAAGAGAAAGAAAAAGAAAATAGAAAGAGAGAAAGGGAGAGGGAGAGAGAGAGAGATAGAGAGAGAGAGAGAGAGAGAGAGAGAGAGAGAGAGAGGGGTGAGATGCTAAGCGAACTTTTCATTTATTTCCATCTGTTTCCTAAAACTATCCAATAATTTAACAAAAAAAAGTATAAAAGTATAAAAGAAGTTATATACATATGTACAATCGCTAGGATAGCACAGGTGAAATCCTAAGATCTAAGAACAATGTTAACATTTTATGCAGAACAAAAGAGAAAAACAAAACTTTTTAGAAAACCAAAAAGAAAAATTATATAAATAAATAGATTTTTGTAATTGAGACTTTATATGGACAGCTAACGGATCAGGAATGTTTGTGGTTAAAGTATTCAAGATTGAACTCTATAGAATTTGATTCTTTTTTTTTCTAGGCAGCACCTAGATAATATACACAAGTTAAAGTAAATGATAAAAAAATACACAGTGATAAATAAATTGAAAAAAAAAAAACACTAATTAAACTAGAGTTAACCAAAGAATACCTTTAAAAAATATATTTAAAAAATATCTAATAATGAAATTAAAAAATAAAAAAAATGGAAAAAATGTTAAGCACATGCCAAATGTATAAGTTTAAACAATTTATGAATAAATAATGTGACAACTTATTTGAATGTGTACAAAAACAATAAAGAGTTTATCCACATTTATCTACGATCTAATTGGTTGTTCAATCGAACAGTGGGAGAAAAAAGTATATGCTCCGCGTTAAATGCAAACTTCAAGTCCAAAGAATTTTATTTAATTAAGTCAAGAAAAAAATAAAAATAATTTGAGAAAATGCACACACAAAATTCGAAATACTTTATGTCTTAAAACTAAAAATATATATATTTCAATTAACTAAATATTTTCATTTTGTTTTTGTTTTTTTTTTTTTTTTTTTTTTTTTTTTTTTTTTTTTTTTTTTTTTTTTTTTTGAAATTTATATTTAGTCTAACTTTGAATGTACTAATATATTAATTAGCCTTTGTAATATTTATTTACTTAACATACAATCCCATGGCCCATCTCTATTTGTTACAGGGTATAGCAAACAGGTCAACCCCAATTCGGCGTATTAACATATTTATGACTGGCAGTGCGGTGCAACCACTAAAGGTCAACAAAAAGAGCTTAACTTGTTTACTTACAACGCCATTCATGACGTCGAAGCTTTTACTAAAGCTCAAACCAGTCAAACATATAGAGACCGAACGAGGAAGAAACAAAAATTAATGTGAGAGGTAGAGAGAGAGAGAGAGCGCAAGAGCGAGTACTTCATGGCGGCTAGTTTAATGCTTAGCTTCGTTTAGCCTCTCTTGCACTTTCCCACCCCCATTTTGTAATGCACGCAAAAGCAACAAGTGCGAGCGAGCGAATGAGCGAACTGGCGGCGAATATTTCAATTAAACATAGAATGCAAGCAATAACAGTTTGCGARTGTGTGTGTGTGTATGAGTGTGTTTGCTTTTAGTGTATTAGACATATATAAGCTTTTGCAGGGCTTTATCAATTCAACGGCGCGATTTTCGGCACAGTTGCTCGGCCAAATCGAAGTAGATCGTTCTGTGGAGCGCCCGGTGGTAGCCTCAACGGTTTACAGTAATAACAATAACAACAACAACACCTAACTAACAATGTTGCCAATTAAAGCAGCTGTAAGCCCTGAGCATGTGGATTTCAAGTTAAAGGAGCTGTTGCAGTGGTTCGAGAGCACGTCAACATTACCCGAAAAAATAGGTAAGCTAATGCCATAGCCCATATCGTGAGGAATAGATATATATATACATATATATATTTCATATTTCATCTATGCATCTTAGTTAACGAATGGGATAGGTTAGGAATTGGTAGTATATTATGAACATGCATTTCTGAACAGAAGGGGCAAAGCATACGGTCAGGTAAATACATACATACATTGCGTGCCAGACAMACCTGATAGCCTTATCAATAAAAAGGCAAATACATACAATACGGCATTAGTCAGTGTAAAGATAAATCTATAGCTCTCTTTGTAGTTTTTCTACAATCGTAACACAAGCTATACTGGCTTTAATACATTAGCAAGTAATGTGTAAACTATTATAAAATATATTCATCCATTTTGTCATAAGATATATATGCATATATATATTTCTATAGATACATACATATCTTTGGAAAGAAAGTATTTGTCATATTGCTAACAAAACCGAAAAATGATTCATCTAGAATTACAATATTTTTTTTACCGGTTTGATCTATGGATCTACAGGCCCTCTACTATTTCCATGAGCACAACTGTGTGTATATACAAGTATTATAAGGACAGTTTTTTTTTTAGTTATATACAGAACTTACACAGTTGATAACATAGTTTAAATACCCCTTCAGACTGGCCTTACATACACATATAGTATAAGAAACTATAAGATTCCGCATGCGAACAGCAGCGTCTGTTGTTGTTGATTTTTCCATATTTATAGCCACAATCATATAGAATATAATCGCCTATAATTATAGTATATATACGAATAGATAATTATATCGATTGCATTTGCGTTGATTTCACTGCAGAGCCAATTGTAATGCTACGATTCCTGAAGTGTATGGACTACGACATGAACGCCACCAAGGACCTGATACAGCTCAACTATAATCTGCGTAATAAGAATCCCAATCTATTTATAGATCGCAACATGGATCAGGAGATGACGGCCAAATGTCTAAATGTCTCGTAAGGCAAATATTAATTACATATTCTCACTTTCCATTAATCAGTAACTCTCTAACTATGATCTCTTAGAGATCTGCTCATATTGCCAGGCGTTACGCCCGAACGCCATAAAGTTTTATTGTTTCGCATGACGGACTTTGATCCACGAACGGTAAGCATAATACACAATATATAAATATGTATAGATGGATGAATGTATATCTATATACATATATGTATATGTGTGTATCAATTAATATTTAACTGTACATACATATATTTGATATATTATTGATTAATGAATTAAACTTTGGCTGCCCTAAGACTCTCTGTGATAGTGATAGTAAGTGAATCGGAAATACTGAAAAAGACCAAGAGAGAGAGAGAGAGGGTCGAGAGAGATAGACAGTCAAGAAGAGAGAAAGACAGAGAGAGAGATAGAGAGAGAGAGAGAGAGAGAGAGAGAGGGAGGGAGGGAGAGAAAGACAGAGAGAGAGAGATAGAGAGAGAGAGGGAGGTAGAGAGAGAGAGAGAGAGAGAGAGAGAGAAAGAGAGAGAGGGATGAAGAGAGAAAGAGAGAGATAGGGAGAGAGAGTAATAGAGAGGGATATATAGATTGACAGAGAATAAGCATAAGAGGATGAGAAAGAGGCAGACAGAGCGAGAGAGCTAGAGAAAGACACCGAGAGAGGGATACACAGAGTAGAGGAGAGTGAGGCAGAGAGAGGGAGAGAGTGAGTGAAGGAGAGGGGCATACTGACTATAACTCAATGGAACTTTATATTCACAGCGCAACTCTGTGGAGGAGACGAAAATCTTTTTTATGATGGCCGATGCACGATTTACAGAGCCAGATGTGGAGAGAACGGCAGATGATTCCGCCGAGAATGCGGGAGTCGGCATTTCTGATGCAGATCTGGCGGATGGCGATGTACAGATCGTTGACATGACTGGCTATACGATGAGGCACCTCGCCTACGTGTCGATCTTTGTGCTGCGCGTCTACATGAAATTCCTGCAGGAGGCATATCCCTCCCGGCTGCGTGCCATGCACATCATCAATTGTCCCTCGATTCTGGACAAGATGATGTCGTTATTTAAGCCCTTCATACGCGAGGATGTCTACCAAATGGTGACTAAAGCGACGATATCAATTCCCTGACTGATCAATCATTATATTGCTTGCCAAACAGATCAATTACCACACCGAGGGCATGGAAAGTCTCTATCAGTTGGTTCCCAGGGAAATGCTGCCAGTGGAGTACGGCGGTAAAGCTGGAACAGTTGCTGAAATAAAACAGAAATGGATGCAGATCATGCGAGACAAATCGTAAGTCCATAAAGAGAGTATACAAATATTATACTTATGTATACATACATATATGTAATTGCAGGGCATATCTGAGCGACGAGAGGTATTGGAGGGTGACGTCAGAGACGAAGAGCCGCTGGTCCTGGTTCTAGTAATGCCAAATGGAGCTAGGCAAACCGTTAGCTGCAAATGTGATTATTATTTTAAAGAATAATGTCGGATATAAAAATGTAAACTAAGTGTTTTTGTTTTTTGTTTTTGTTTCTCACATTTCGAGTCATTGAATATTATGTTGAAAATGTTACAATTTTGATAGGTTTACAGAAATACAGAGTCTGTAATTTTTTAAACTTTTTTTTTTTTGCAAATTTTGTAGTTTATCTAAAAATTTTTGGCGTGTGTTTGGTTGTATTTTAACTAAATTTTTCGCATGTTTTTAACTTGGATCGCCAATGGAGTTCATTAGCGGATTTTTGAAGCCCCATAGAGAGAAGCTGCGATATCTCGCGCTGATGCTGAGCTGTGTGAAACTATGTCGGGGTCTGGGCCTGCTCTTCCGTGTGAGATCGAACTCTGGAAATTCCGATTCCATTTCCACAAAGCCATTGCTAGGCGCTCTACTAATGTCAACGCTGGGCATGCGCTTGGCTCAGCTGAACCATGATCAGACCATGCTGACCCTGCACAGCACCAGCCTGGTGCTCAATGTCACATATCTAAGCATCTTCTATCAGTATGCTCCGCCGGAGCGCAAGATTCGCATTGTGACTAAAACCATGTTAATTGTACTGCTAATTACCATCTGTATGATCTACTCGTTGTTCGGCGATGCAGCAAACGTGAAGCGGGACTTGAGCATTATCATGACGGGCACCACATCGATGCTGATCTTATTGGGACTGCTGCAGCGCACTGGCTGTCTGGGCTGCCTGATATCCATTCTGGTGGTCTCCTCGAAGATGCTCTATGCGCTATCTACCATGAACCGGTTCAATTTATATCAGTCCCTAGTGGTGTTCTGCCTGGATGTGGCGCGCATCGCCTTTCTGCTCCTGAGTACCAATTATGAAGCGGATAATTGCTGCTGTTGCGGGAGCAAGTCGTCCATATGAGACTATTTTTTTTTTAATGGTTTTTCAAATGTAGTTTATAAAAGTGTGTCTGTGTGTGCGTGAGTGTGCATATACATATATGCATTAAATTTATTGTTCATCTTAAACATGGCCTAATGTCTATGCCATTTACTGTAATAATTCATAATTGCGCTAAATGGTTTCAGTTTCGATTTCAATTTTGAGTCCAGTTAAAATTTGTTCCCCAAATTTCCTGTGCTAAATGCGAATTCAATGCACGATCAGGTGATTAGGTAGATGCGCAGCAGCTGTAACTGACAAATCAAGCCAGGCACAAATTTAGGCACTATTAAGCGTCAACAAATGGCCAACAAATCGACAAAATGGGCGTATGGGTGAATGGGCGAATGGGCAAGCGGAAGGCAATTAAAAAAAAAAAATATTGTACGTGTCTGATTGGTGAGGAGAGTGCGAAAGTATATTTAAATTCAAATACGCGCATATGTATTTGCAATATACATCAATAATTTATATATACGTATATATGTGTATATTTAAGCACGAATTATGAATCAAATATTAGAGGCCAGTCAGTTGGGCAGCAGGCTTCAAACGCAACGGTCCACAAATCAATTCGCTGCGCAGGCAATTTGAAAAACCGATAGCCATCACGATAGCAAGTGCCAAAACGAGTAGCTTTCATTTACCGATACCGATACGATACCGCGAGCGATGAGCAGCGATAGTGAAAGTGAAAATCAGCTGAGGCGCGATCGTGATTTGGCCGAGCTTAACGAATGGTTCTACACTAATGAGAACCTGCCGCAAGAAATTGGTAAACAAACATCATGCTCTCTGATGTAATACACCATGTTGGCCGGCACTCTATATTGGCGGAGGACGAAGTGTGCAGGGCTCTGGTTTAGCTGACCGGCTGCCAAAAATTGTAAACACTCGTCTTGGGTGCTGACCCATACGCATGCATACTGCATGTACATACATGTGTATGTATGTACACACGTCAATAATACTTAATGAGGTCGTTTATAGGCAGCCAAGCATGCCGGCCATTTGAATAGCGGACATGCTGAGCACCCATTGCGTCATATGCCATCTCATATACATATATAAATAGATATATGTATCTCTATATTTAATATATTTATATTTTGCAGACCCTTTGCTGCTGCGCCGGTTCTATCAGTGCATGTATTGCCATGTGGAGGACACCAAGAAGCTCATCGAGGTGAACTATGCACTGCGGAACAAGCATCCGCATTTGTTTATCAAACGGGATCCGCTCGACGAGGACAGTCGTCGCACCTTTGAATATGCGTAGGCCAATCAGAGATCTTCCTCATCCATTATCTTCTAATAGCTTTCCATTGCAGGGATATTTTGCCGCTTCCGGGTTTGACTCCAGATAAATACAAAGTGTCGCTCTACTGCTTTAGGGACTTTGAGCCCTCCAAGGTACGCATGCTATAGGCTGTCTATGCTATATACTTCACATGCTTAGCTTGCCTTGCTTGCAGATGCACCACACGGAGGATACGCGAGCCTTTTTCATGGTCACTGACTGTCGGTTCGTAACAGTCGACGATGAGGCTCACAAGGAACAGCTGTCGGAGGGCGAAGTGCAGATCTTCGATATGAAGGGCACCACCATGCGCCACATATCGCGTTTGACGATTAGCACATTGCGTGCTTACATCAAGTTCCTGCAGCTGGCCTTTCCAGTGCGCCTCAAGGCCATTCACATGGTTAACTGTCCTACGTATTTGGATCGCATTGTAAGCGTGGTGAAGCCATTCATAAGCGACGAGGTCTTCAAGTTGGTAGGATCTGTAAAAACTCCAGGCCTTTGGTATAAGTGCATAAATGAATTTATTTCCATTCAAGATCAAATTTCACACATCCAGCATTGACTCTTTGTATGCATTTGTGCCTCGTGATATGCTGCCGGAGGAATATGGTGGCTCTGCCGGGTCGCTGGCCACATTACGGGCGCAGACCCAACAGGTCTTGGCGGAGAAGAGGCAAGTAGCAACCATTCGACGAAGATATTTTGACGCAGTGGAATGACTATATTTTTGACATTTCTTTTTTAGGGACTATTTAATGAATCCTAATCACTGGGTCGTCGAGAAACCCGAGAAGCGTAACGGTAAATCGTGGAAGCTATTTAACTGAGAAGTAGATGACGTGTGGCTCCCATTTTTTTTTTAATTAAATCAAATAAATGTATTGTTTAGCTTTGTTTCTAATTGTGTAGCTTTTGTATGTGCTATGTACAATGAGTTTATGTTTTGTATATAATAAAAATATGGGATTGTTTTTAAAGGGCTATTAAACAGATATTTTGTACTGTTTATTTGTGTTAATAAATATAAAATATTAAATGTATTTCTTTACGTTAAATACGTTACGTTACATACGTTATCGATACTGCTATCAATTCTTATCGAAATATATGAAATCGTACTCGATAGCATTATACGTTGCAATGTGAATGGCAGATTGTTAGAAATAAGAGGAAGCATTTGCAGTAGACGCATCTCTAATGCCGTGTTTATTTTGAGCGAATGTGCATAAAACTCCGCTTAAATCAAGATTTTATATTAATTTGAAAGAAGTGCCGGCAACTAACACAAAAACACAGCATGGATCGACCACAGAAAATGCCCAAGGTGGCAAAGGTAAGTCCGCCATATGTTCTCAAAGCCAACGCAATGCAGTCCAACATAAACGTTTTTGTTTTCAGGTCAAAAATAAAGCGCCCGCTGAGGTGCAAATTACCGCGGAGCAGCTGCTGCGCGAGGCGAAAGAACGTGATTTGGAGATATTGCCACCGCCACCCAAACAAAAGATTTCCGATCCAGCCGAATTGGCCGACTACCAACAGAGGAAGCGGAAAACATTCGAGGACAATCTGCGCAAGAATCGCATGGTGGTCAGCCACTGGATCAAGTACGCCCAATGGGAGGAGCAGCAGCAGGAGATACAGCGCGCACGCTCCATATGGGAGCGGGCGTTGGACAACGATCATCGGAACGTAACCATTTGGCTGAAATATGCCGAAATGGAAATGAAGAACAAACAGGTGAATCACGCACGAAACCTTTGGGATCGTGCTGTCACCATAATGCCACGCGTCAATCAGTTCTGGTACAAGTACACCTACATGGAGGAGATGCTGGAGAACGTGGCCGGAGCGCGGCAGGTCTTTGAGCGCTGGATGGAGTGGCAGCCGGAGGAGCAGGCCTGGCAGACCTACGTCAATTTCGAGTTGCGCTACAAGGAAATCGATCGCGCACGTGAGGTCTACGAACGCTTTGTTTACGTGCATCCCGATGTCAAGAACTGGATCAAGTTCGCACGCTTCGAGGAGACGCATGGCTTTATACATGGCGCCCGTCGTGTCTTCGAGCGGGCCGTCGAGTTCTTTGGCGATGAGTACATCGAGGAGCGCCTGTTCATTGCCTTCGCACGCTTCGAGGAGGGGCAGAAGGAGCACGATCGTGCGCGCATCATTTACAAATATGCGCTCGATCATCTGCCCAAGGATCGGACACCAGAGCTATTCAAGGCCTACACCATACACGAGAAGAAGTATGGCGATCGAGCGGGCATCGAGGATGTGATCGTGTCCAAGCGCAAGCATCAATACGAACAGGAGGTGGCCGCCAATCCGACCAACTACGATGCCTGGTTCGATTATCTGCGCCTGATCGAGGCCGATGGCGACAAGGAGCTGATCCGCGAGACCTACGAGCGGGCGATTGCGAATGTGCCGCCCGCCAAAGAGAAGAACTACTGGCGTCGCTACATCTACATCTGGATCAACTATGCGCTCTACGAAGAGCTCGAGACGGAGGACATACAGCGCACGAGGGAAATCTACAAGACCTGCCTGGAGCTAATACCCCACAAGGTGTTCACGTTCAGCAAGATCTGGCTGCTGTACGCCCAGTTCGAGCTGCGCTGCAAGGAGCTGCAAACGGCGCGCAAAGCCTTGGGCATGGCCATCGGCATGTGTCCCAGGGACAAGCTGTTCCGCGGCTACATCGATCTGGAGATACAGCTGCGCGAATTCGAGCGCTGTCGCCTGCTCTACGAGAAGTTCCTGGAATTTGGGCCCGAGAACTGTGTCACCTGGATGAAATTCGCCGAGCTGGAGAATCTGCTGGGCGACACGGAGCGTGCGCGGGCCATCTTCGAGCTGGCCGTGCAGCAGCCACGCCTCGACATGCCCGAGCTGCTGTGGAAGGCCTACATTGACTTTGAGGTCGCCCTCGGCGAGACGGAGCTGGCACGCCAGCTGTACGAGCGCCTGCTCGAGCGCACGCAGCACGTGAAGGTCTGGATGTCGTATGCCAAATTCGAGATGGGCATCAGTCATGGCCAGGGCGACGGCGACCCGGATGCCGATCTGAATGTGCGTCTGGCGCGCCGCATTTACGAGCGAGCCAACGATACGCTGCGCCAGCTGAACGACAAGGAGTCGCGCGTCCTGCTCCTGGAGGCGTGGCGCGACTTTGAGCGCGATGTCAATGAACCACAGTCGCTGCAAAAGGTGCTGGACAAGATGCCGCGCCGCATCAAGAAGCGGCAGAAGATCGTCTCCGACGATGGTGTCGAGGAGGGCTGGGAGGAGGTCTTCGACTACATATTCCCCGAGGACGAGATGGCACGACCCAATCTCAAGCTGCTCGCCGCCGCCAAAATGTGGAAGAAGCAGAAACACAACGAAGCGGACACAGCTACGGACGCGGACACTGAACCAACGGCAGCGGAATCTTCAGCACCTGAACCAGCAGCAGAGGAAGACACAGCGGAGACATAGCGTGTAGAAATCCTGCCATTCCGAATGCCCATCAAATAAAAACTCTAATGTTAATTGCGTGCACGGTTTGAATTTTGATATTAAGACGTGGATTAGAGTTAATATTGGTACAGTGTTAAGTGGCTAATGGATATCAATAAGAATGTAATTGAGTTATAGACTAAACATCTCAAGAGCTGACACTGTAGGCAGACATGACTGTATCTATGGCCTATGGACTTCTACTTCAAGTGGAATTACTGTTTATTTATCTGGTCTCAAAATGGGATCTTCGAGTTAGCTTTGGTATCACATTATATAAACAAACTTTGCCTACATATACTATATATAGAATCATATTATATAAACTATCCATGTCATATCATATAAACAATATTTTTCTATATATACATTGATATCCATATACATATACCTCTGCTACGAAATCTAAGAGGAAATTCTGCAAATGGAGAAGTCTAGCTATGCGTCTTGCCTAAGTAACTTGAGCTCTCCAGTCTAGTATTCGGTTGCATTATTATAACTGTTCTATAAAGCGATGTCTTCTATGAATTTATGTTTGAATCTATTTATACTATGCGCCAAATAGATCGTAAAGCTCTAATAGCTTACTAGGCACCAAAGTGATCATAGGCATCTAATGAACTAAGTGATCTTGATATCCACATCTATACATACCATATATCTATAACAACATCCTCTTCTATAACTAAATCTATATATAGATTCCAAATCAATCTCTATAAACATTTCTATAGCTATATCTATATCCATGATATATGCTCCCATCTTCACCTATATTTCATATATTAGGTTCTTTCGGCTCTTTTAGTCATAGTTATATGTCTTTAAATATAGATAGCTACCGGCCAAAGGCTGGATCTGATCTCTTCCCTGACTTACAGTAGCTCTACTCGCATGTGTATATATCTGCTCCAGCATCGTGAATTTCCATTTCTCCCCGATCACTTGGCTCGCAGCAGCAGCGTAAAGGCGGAATAGGTTGATCGGATGACCTGGGAAAAGAGAATCGATAGGATTACAGGCATCAACTGAAGTGGAGCACGGGGGAAGGGGGCACCTGTTCGAAGGTCTCCAGGGTGACGGCTATGTAGCCGCCGGCATAGATGCAGAACGTCCTCTGGCTGCGCATCAGCGTGAAGACCAGCAAGCGGCGGAACTGCGGCGACTGATCCAGCCAGTTGCAGGCGTAGAAGGCGTCGCACAGCTGCTCGCTCTGGCTGCGCATGCGGTCGCCGAAGTAGCAGATGATGAACACCTCCAGGGTGACAGCCAGGAAGAACACCGAGGACAGCATCATGGCGGAGAGATCGTGCGAGTCGGTCACATAGAGGAAGTGCATGGCCACGGTGCACTGGACGGTGGCGGTGCAGATGAACTGGGCGAGGCAGGCGATGGACAGGATCTGCTGGATGCTGGCGTGCAGCTGGCTGATGTGTATGAAGTCCTCGATGCAGTCGTGCAGCTCTAGCTGCACGATGCGGCACCAGGGCGGGCACTCGGGATGGCCCGGATAGCCGAGGCGACGCACGCGCAGCTCCAGGGCGCGCATGTGGCCCGTGAGCACGCAGAGGTAGGCCGGCGGATAGGAGTCGTTGGCGCAGTCCTGGATGGCCTGCACGATCAGGCCGAACAGCTGATAGCAGCAGATGCACACGTACGCCAGATCCGAGCTGAGCCAGTCGACGGCGAACCAGGCGGGGTAGAGCAGCCGGCGCTCCTTTGCTATGGCCACCCGGATGCAGCTGAGCAGGGTGCCGACGACAAAGATGCCGGCGAAGATGCGAAAGCTTCTCCTCGCCGTGCTGACAGCCTGCCGCAGCGCGTCCAGCTCCTCGGGATGCTGCACGCTCAGCGCCCGCCTGTCCAGCACCTGGAGCAGCTCGCGTATCCGGTCGAGCTGCCGGCGCACCAGGAACACATTGATGAACTTGAAGTTGGCCGCAATGTCGGTGATCGTAATGGTCAGATTCTCGCACAGCTCCTGCAGATTGCGCGTCAGAATGAGCCGCGCCAGCAGCGTCAGCGGGAACAGCAATGTGACCAGCACGTTCAGCGAAATGGCCTGGAGCAGGTACCTCGACCGGGACCTGCCCGAGGGCCGTATCAGGCCAGTTAGCTCCCAAACGCGCCAATGATAGCTGAGCGCCTCATGGGTGTCCAGCACCCGCTGCTCCCTGTCCAACTCGAATTTCCTCAACTGCTGCGCTGCCATCTCGTCTGCCTTTTGACCAGTGGACGCCTCCACCAGGGGCTTTTATAGCTGCCACCAGCTAGGTGTGTGTGTGTGTGTGTGTGTGTGTGTGCAGCAAGGTGTCCAACTTCCCACTGTTTTGGGACAATTATGGCGCCATTATAGACCTAGAACCCTTAATGGATAGCGGGAGGAAGCGAGAGAGACCACCCAAGCAAAATTTCGCCATCATAATAATTTGTTTATCGTTTTATTATCCAAAAGTTCATCAAATGTGTGGGGCTGAGAGTGTGGTGATKGCATGCGCTTATCAATCAATCATTCAAGCAATCAATCGTTACTTAAACGCCGCTCAATTTGAATACGCAATGCGATCCTGCAGCAAATGTCCTCGAGACAATTACAGGTTAATTTGTAGCACAGCAAATTCTCATGATGCGATGCAAATGCATAAACAAGTGTCTCTTTGTGTGTGTGTGTGTGTGTGTGTGTGGGTGTGTGGACACAGGTGCAGAAATTGACAACGTTCTAGCAAACTATTTTCGGAATTCCTGCTTAGGATGGGCGCAAGTACTTAACAAAATCCCTTCCAAATCGAATTCAATAGAGGGGATTTTCCCAGTTCTAACTATTTCTAGGACAAGTTCTATAAGGCCTTAGGCATTGCTATATCAGGTTCGACACCTATTGCATTGTAGTACTGTTTTTAATCTTAACTAGTTCTTAAGTAATATAATATGTGGAGCCAAAGCTGATTAAGTGGAACTAAGGAACTAATCCTAAAAGAAAGTATTTCTCGTAAATATTATGATTAAGTAAATTGAACATAAATTCCATTTAAGAAACATTGAATTACTGTTTCGTGTGCTGAGCCCCTTCAACTAGGTGATATGTCTCTCTGTCTGCGTGTGTGTGTGTGTGAGTGTTTCTATATAGATACGATACGAGTATATAAAGGTTTGTCTTTGGAACATGATAGCCTAACTAAAGTAATATTTAGAAATCTAACTGACTCTATCAAAACTTTGATTGGAGTCGGCTCCGGATTAACTCTAAACTTAGTCTAAAGAAAACGTTTGGCTAAACTGAAATTGCTTCAAGGTTGAGGCCCATCTCAAAATTTTAGTAAATGTATCAAGAATACTATATAAGTTTAGTGCTCTTATACATGTGGAGTGAGTGAGAGTGTGTGTGTGTTTCGCTTTGTATATATGTATATATTTGTATAATTGCATACATATGCGACGATGTATGTATGTGTGTATGTGTAGGCAATATTAACATAGTTTTAGCTCATTTACATAATGTAAAGATATAAAGATTTATATGTATGTATATATATATATAGGTATAATGATATAGACATAGTTCAATATTTACATAGGAATTGCAAGAATAATTCGATCTATAAGCAATTTAAAGCTATGCTGGAGGGACGCGGATGCGGATGCGGATGTTCTTCAGGGTACAGCAAAACAAAAACAAATCGATTGGACGCACATACAAGAAAAAACAAAACATACAAAAATTTAACATTTTTTTTTGGTTTATGAATTGGGATTTCGGGGGAATTCGTATCATTCACTTAGCTCGGTAACTTAATTTGTAATTTTTAAGAATTAATTTAGAAATACAATTAAGCAAACAGAGACAAAATAATTTATCTATAGAGAAACATGGTAATTCTTTCAAAGCTTTTCCGTATTCTCGATTTTTTGTTTTTTTTTTTTTTGTATAATTTATAAATTTGTCATAATGTCGATTATGGAAAAAGCGAAATTGGAAAATATTTAACTAGTTTTACAAATATTAGATATACTCGATCTGCACAGGTTTACAATTATGT